ACACAGTATTCAGTCACAGCACCCATATGCCCTCTACCTCCAGTAACGGTCATTTTATGAAAAAACTTTCGGCGGAACTGCAATACTTTCTTGAGAGAGTGAGGACCTCTGGTGAAAGGACTAGATAGCAAGTTAGTTCGTACCAAGTGGTTTTATTCAAGGGACGCAACAGGTCCAAAAGCAAGGCAGATGGCCTCTCTGGACAAGTAGAAGTCACTTAACCGAGAGCGATCGGGCCATTCCAACGCCGTACTGTGGAAGGTCGCACACGACGCTCTTCCGATCTTCTTCGCTGTGGTGAACCATTCATGAGCTTTAGCGCAGGGAGTTTCTTCCTCTCATTCGCTGTGCTAACGAGTGAGTCTTCCTGTAGTTAACCGCGAAGGGAGGATAAAAATCCCCATCATCTGGTTCCACACCCAGCAATGTTTGCGTGCTTCACCACAGGTCGCATTATACATTTGGAAAATGACACTGCTTGAGATCTTGAAGCTTAGCTGATGATTTCGTTCACAGTCTTCGTGTAGCGGACTTAGCACTTTCTGACTGCCACTCAAACTAATCCCTCAGCGGTCATCTTCTGGGTGAAAAGTGCTATTTTCAAAGGCACTTCAAAAACGACCCGGCAGCCTTTCTCCACACGGAACTAAAACGCTACTGGAAAAAAGTTTGAAAATGTCACGAACTTTTGGGACAACGTTATAGAACAGCCGAGCCCAAAGTATAGAACACTGCCACGTGGAAAAGGATGTACCCCAAGGTACCAAATATAATACTTCGGCGCTTCCAACATCAAAACACCGGCACGGCGTAAGCAATTCATCTCAGACTTGGGCGATTAAACATGCAAAGCGATAATATGCGAAATTACCATACAAGCAGCTGCGTGAAGCATAAGGAGTAAGAGATGAGAGTTATGAGAGGAGATTCCTAGTGGATAATTGAGAAGGCGAGTAGCAACTAAATAGGGCAAATCGGAATAAAAGGAGGAGTAAATGAGCACGATTAACTATGCTAGAGCAAGCTTACAATTGATCAAACGGGACAAGAAAGAAGATGGAAAAAAACTTGTTAGGTTGTCCGGAAAGTTCTCAGCGTTTTGGGTGTTTCACTTTAACGATCATAACTTCCTTAATACTCATCGGATTTAATCGAAATAATACTTTTGCCAATGTGACTCAAATTGACAAATCCTATCAAAGAAAAAACTGGGTGGTCGAGAATCCACGAAGGCTTTTTTTGCCTGGTCCTGATTGATGAAGTATTTTCCAGCAAGGAAGTTCTGAAAATGTTTGAAAAGGTGATAGTCGGTTGGTGAAGAAAAGGTGATAGTCGGTTGGTGAAAGGTCTGGAGAATATGGCGGGTGAGGTAGAACTTCAACCCCCAATTTATGGATAGTGATTTGTGAAACGTGTGGGCGGGCGTTGTCATGCAAAAGAATCGGACCCTTTCTGTTGACAAGTGCTGGCTGCAGCTGACGCAATTTTCGGTACATTTCGTCGATTTCTTCACAGTAGGACTCTGCTGTGATGGTTTGGCCTGGTGACAAAAAGTTATAGTGGATCACACCAGCCGATGACCACCACACTGTGACCATAATCTTTTTTCGTGAGGATTGGAAATTGCCTCGGTGGTTCGTCGGCATCCAACCACTGTCCGGAACGTCTCCTGTTATCATACATGATCCACTTTTCATCACAGGTGACAATTCGGTCCAAAAACGGGTCGTTTCTGTTGCGCAAAAGCAGTGAAGAAGAAACCTCGAGACGTGCCAATTTCTGCCGGTCACTCAAATTGTGGGGCACCCACTTGTCGAGTTTTTTCACCTTCCCAATGCGTTTCAGACCATCCGCAACAGTGGATTTGCCAACGCCTAGCTTTTCTGCAATCTCTCGAACTGTTTGGGATGGGTCAGCCTCCACAAACGCCTTCAAATCCTCGTCAGGTATTGCTTTAGGTCGACCGCTACGAGGTTCATCTTCAAGGCTGAAATCTCCAGAACGAAATTTGTCGAACCATTGTCGCACGGTGCTTTCTCCAACACTATTGGGCCCCCACACATGGTTATTTTGTCGAGCTGTCTCGACTACGGTTTTTAGGATGTACTACTGAGACGCAAGGGAGAATGAGTTTTTAATCAGCAATGAATGTACAAAAAATAGTAACACAAAACGCTGAGAACTTTCCGGACAACCTAATCATGTAGGTTGAAAGGAAATCTTGTCACTGTTGTGACTTTTTTTTATTTTCTAACTCAACATACAGTGGGAATTAGTCAACAATATACTCGTCATAGTTAGCCACTACAGTGCTCCACCTAATGGGCAGGTAAGCATTCCCCCTCTCCCAGAACTGAGGAGGCTGCGAGTAGAGTAAGTCAGCGGCCTCTCGACTGATGTCATCAAAGTTGCTGAAGTTTTCCTTAGCTAAGAGAACCTTAAGGAGGCGGAGCAGGTAGCAGTCGTAGGATCTACGTCAGGAGAATATGACAAGCGGGGACTGGTCTCCCAGCCTTGCTCCTCAATTATTTGGTAGGTCTACATAGTAGGTATGGGGTCTCGCGTACTACGAACGAGGTGCCCCGAAGCTAGTCTCGGTCATTTTTCTCCAACATTTCCACCGATTTCAAGAGTTGAGCGACATATATGGTAGCGGTGAGCGTATATTCATGCAGGGCAGCCCTTGCAGCATCCCTCTCGCATCCCAGGAGCAGCACAGGAGAACCTTCTTGGAATACATGCCCGGTTTGGACTGCTAGAATGGATCTTCTCCTTGAGAGAGACACACGGTATCGTGTGGGTCGAAATGACAGAGGACCCATCTGTCATCTCCAAATCTGCCAGAAACACCTTTTGACGAGGGCGGAGAAGGGGAGACTGACCAAGGGGTACCCGGGTGCACAGCGTGCCATCGGTCAAGGTATGAGTGATCCATCGAGCCAGTACTTTTCGGTAGTCAAGGGCTTACAGGCGGTTGACGACTGTCAGTTAGGTACATCCGAGTCTTGTCGCAAGACTGCGGGTGGTATCCTCCGGATACTCTTGGCAGCTTCGGGAATGGTGGAGTCTTCCACTTCGTGGGGCATCCCAACCGAGGTTTGCCTTCGAGGGTCGTGTCTCCTTTCGCGAAGCGAGCGAACCAAAGATGGACAGTCATGATGGTAGTGGTGTCCTCCGCCAATGCACTGCTGATGTTGCGGACAGCTGCCTGCATCAGTGCCGTGGAGCCACTGATAGAATACGATGACCCGAAGATGCTCCTGTGAAACTGTACTGAGTTCTAGTCTAGTATTCCCCAAGGATATCCTTAGTATTTCTCACAGCTTTTCTCGAATGCCTTTACAGAAATTTGAACATTCGGATATCAATGTGAAATGTTGATCGATACTTCCCCTACGCAAAACTTTTCCCAATGGATGCCGCTCTTATCAGATAACTAAGCCTATCTAAGAAGTATGTAATCGTCGCCCCCAGTCACATTTTCTCTACCTTTCTTTCTACCTTTCAGATATGTTTTATTCTCGTTCACTTCTTATGTATGTGCTTTAGAGACACGACCGCTTTTATATTTCCGGTAGGATTAGGCACGAGCACTTATAACTCAGCCTCAGCTGATCTTAAGAAGTAGGTTACTTTTGATATTCGGTTCACTTTCTGAAAGACCTTTCTGTCACTGTTTATTACCTGCGGAAATTAGTGATAAAAGTTTAATTACCCAAGTTTGAGGTCTTGTACGAGAAAGTCCCGCGTGGCACAGTTGTTTGTTCTCTAATTACGATACTCGTATACGACCTTATTTAGAAACTGATATCGTAATTAAACCCAGGGAAGAGCAGGCGCCCTCACACGCCTCTTGCAGGAAAGCTCCCAGAGTGTCCTACAAGCATAGCATGTTACGTCATGTACGAGCATCAAAACCGAAAGATGTAGGCTTTTCAAAAACCTGACAGGGCTTTCCTTCCAACCTAAATGATGCGCTATGGCGCCTCCCTTACAATTTTTGCCGCGCAACCGGCACAAGGTGGTTCGGACCAGCCGACGCCATTTTTCAACTTCTATACCTGAACAACAGTTGTTGCAAGTGAAGCAACAATGAGACACCAACCTGTAAAAGAGGAGCTGTGATGAGCTTCTGTTGTTCTTTTCATTACAGAGGAGAGGCACCACAGAGCAAAAGCATAGGAGCCCCAAATCTTCACTATTTCAACACTGCTCTGCTTCCTGTTGGAGAAATGCTGTGGCCACGACAGGTTTCTCATGATTTTCTCAAGTATTAGGAGAAGGTCGCACTTTGCCAGAAAGCGCTGCAAGAACAACGACAACATCACTTTTTATTTAGGTGTTTGCTTTCGTCTCATCGCGGACATACCTGTAGAGCTCTACCAGATTATCTGCCACAGCAGAACTGAAAACAGCTGTAATTATTGATTGCACAGGTTCCTCGTGTGATATTAGCTAAGTTATCGAT